GCCAAAGCTTTATTTGTTTCAAATCGTCAGCCAACAAACAATGCATAAAGGCAAATTTTTTCCGCTTGTTTGTTCTTTGCTTGAGCGTGGGGAGACAATTCCAAATCCACCTGGTTTTTGCTCTTTGAAGTCTTACTGTCAGTAGGAAAGTTTTGTCCATAAATCTGCATCTCATAATTGTGCTAACAGGAGCTATTACTTTGATGACAGACATAGCAGTGTAATAGCACATCCAGTGGAAATTCCCTCTAGCACTATAAACCATCTTGGCAAAATGGTGATGGGAAGCTCCACTCAGGCCCAGGGCCTTACCACCAATCTTGCTAGGTTAAAACATAAACTCCCACTCCCCTCATAGCTGTGAAACTTCAAAGTGTAGAACAAAACTTAAGCATGGACTATGGGATTCTGTCTGCTGCTGCTGCTCTGTGCATTTTGGGTGTGAAGAGGTGTGGTCCCTGACTGACAGTGATGGCTGGCTTGAGCCTCAAGCACAAGCACAGTTCTACCAGCCAAACCTGTGGATTTTGGTTGTGGGGCAAGGTGGGGCTGAAACAGACTCTGCTGGTGAAATTTCAGTTTTAGCAATTCTTTCTGCATCCCCATTAGTTCTCCTGTGCAGTTATCATGGTCAAGTCACTTACATTTACTTACAGACTAAGATGGACTTGTTCAGGCAGCTGCAGAAGGGACGTCTTCGGTACAGCAAGTGTTTTGTCATTGGTGTGTGTTCCCTCTTTTTAATTCTTGCAATCTGTTGCTAAAAGACTGTTGTTGTAAGTCATGGTTGGACAGGTAACCATCCGTTAATGAGTAATTCCTATGCCTGATATTGGCATTGATCTGTTCCATGTTTTGCAACACAATACTGTTTTCTGAGAGGGCTTGTTGGGAGCTCCCTGTTATTATTATTCCATCCTCGTGAGGGGAAAGAGACGGAAAGTGTCTGGGTGCTAGACAGCTCCTGATTACAAGCACCATTGGATCAGCTGCTCTGGAGGAGCCCTTCCCACCTGCTGAGTTCCACAGAAGAAGAAAGGACACTGACAACCAGCAGCCAGGGTCAGACACATGATAAACTCTGAACTCCATGCAGTTTAGGCAGTGTATCTTGCTACATGGCATTCCCATCTACCCGCAAAGGCATTAATGATTAACAACGATAAGAGCTCTGCTTACTTAGAGAACTAGAATACCCTACAGTCAAACAAATTGCAGTCCTTTGAGAAAACTCGTTGCTTATTCACCCTCCTGCTTCAGCCCAGCCCTGGAAGTTTCCTTCCGCCAGGCAAAATCTCAGTGAGAGGGGAGTGAAGATGAAAGCTTGTGCTCCTTTCACTCTCGTCTTGGCTCTGGCTCTGAGCGGTGACTGTATGAAGAAGGTAAGTCTGATTGCTCCGCCTCAGAGTGGCAGATCAGCGACGTGCTGCCTGGCAGGGCAGTGCTGCCCGGGGCTGGATGAGTGATGCCACCAACCAGGTGGAAAGAAGGAGTGCTTCAAACGCAGAGGGGTTTGCTAAATCAAGGCCCACAGCAGTGCTGACTAAGCAGTGTTTATAGGATAGCTCATCCCTTCTGCATAGCTGATAGCCCAGGCCCACACTTGTGTATCTTTATAGTTATTTTTACTTCATCAGCTACATTAAAACTAGCCCAGATGTACTCAAATGATGCTGTAATCCCAACTATTCGAGCAAACTGCAGAAGTATCTTCTTAAACATTCTATGTTGGGGCAGAAGGGGATATTCACAATGTCTATGACAGAGCTCAGCCTTGGCATTGCAGACTGCCTAATGCAAACAGAAGTAGTGCGGAGTTTGAGTGCAAAAATTGTTTCTTCCTCAGAAATGATCAAGCTCTCTCAGTATATCTTAGCAACAGCTTTGCCTTATCCCTTGCTTATTGCATTCTGTATCCACATCCATGTTCATGATGCTGCTTCCTTGACTGTTTTGTGATATTTTTATTTTGCTATAGATCAGCTGTCAGCACCTTTGGTGGCAGCAGCACTTTATGTGTATTCCCCATTTTTTATTATTTCCTGTGGTTTTAGATTAGCTCTAACGAGCAATGATGCTTTCTGCTTGCTGATTGGTAAACCCAAATAAAGTTGAGGTTGCTTTCTTAGCTAATGCTCTGAGGGATACAGCTAAATGGCAGAAAAAGTCAAATCCTAGGATATTATTTGTAACAGTGAGCTGGCCCCAGAATGCATACATTCATTTCACAGAGGAAGATAGGAGGTGTGTCTCTTGGCAGTAGCAAGATATAATGGAGCAGAGCCTCAGCCTTTATAGTATTGTGCTAGATTCTCCTGGTTTAAAAGAGAGCTTCTGCTATCCAGTGTTTATTTACTCCCATTTATCAGATTGTGCCCCAGCTGAAATCAGATGCAAATAATGAGATCTGTGTGGAAGAACTGAGAGAAATACAGTTTGAGGGCACATTTTTCTCTACAGGATTTCCCAGATTGAATTTCTTTCTTCATTCCACATTCTTTCTTTTCTCTTCGTAGCACCACAAATCTGGGCCAAGAAGAGACCCAAAACATGGCTTCACTCACCTACAAGGTACAGAGTCAAATCCAATAGTTCTCATGACAGTAAGAATGATCTGCCTATCTGCATCCACACTGTGCAAGCCAGCAGTAAGCCTGTCTTTGTTTCAACATGCATAAGGATTATGGAATGGTTATGACTATTAATTTCTGTGCAGATGTGAACTTGGGATTAGCTCAGACATCCCAGGTAATTTTCCTTCAGGTGGGGATTAATGTGAAAATGCTGATGAGATTTTCATTTTTCTGAGCTTGTGTGGCTTATCCTGTCTCCTGAAATGGTGGGGCTGTGATGTGCAACTCCCTTTATTTTCATCAGAACTGTGTCTGCCCTATGCTTTAAAGTACATAAGCAGCTCTTTGAATGTATGGGTTCAATTCCTGCAACTGCCCTTGATCTCTGTTGAGGAGGATTTGAGTCCCATACAATTTGCTGTGTAGCATTTGTTTTGAAACCTGAAGTTTCAGACATCCTGGCTGTGTGCAGACATTGCAGACTTCCAGTTTTAAAGCCTTTATTGCCCTGTACTTTTGCTGTTGTGGTTTGTATGAATTGGGCTGTTACTTGTGCCTTTGTAGCTTAGAACAGTCTTTAATGACCGTTGGGTTTAAATGTCTTCTCAGTGAAATTATTTTCACAATGTTCTAGCTACTTATAAAGGGAGCCATCAAACAGTGAAGGTAAATAGCTGAACATTCACCCAGTTAGCTCAGACAATGAATACTAGGCTTCAAGAAGAGATAGCAAAGTGACTGGGGTAATTGTTTTGCACTGGCAGACACAGGGACAGCCAAGGCCAATAAAGTGACCATAATTGTAGCTGGCTAGGAAAGTTTGGACCACAGGGATGGGTTGTTTTTCATGGTGCTAATAACTGGCCTCAGCAGTGATTTGAGGTGATGTGTCAGGGCTTGCCAGGGTTAACAGATATCACAGCAGGAGCCCCAGCTGTGACTGCAGGGGTAGGCTCAGGATGAGGAGGGTGATGTCATCACCAAAATGTTGGAAATAGGCAGTATTTGCCCATGGCTCTATGCCCTGTTCCTCACCTATCTTAGCAGCTGGTTTCCCATTTATCCTCCTGGTTCTCAGAACAGATTTATTTTAGTTAATGGTTAAATAAGCTCCGACAGTTTTTCGTTGTCTTTTCTGTCTCCAGTCTCTTTCATTCTCAACATTCATCTTGAAGGATTTTTTTCTGCTAGACTGCCACTACCCTTTCTTATACTACAGTTATCACTGACTTGGCAAATAGAACACTTGCCCTTCTCAGCTACCTGTCCCATCAATTTCTATCCACTTATCCCAAGGGAAAGGTGGTAAGATCAAAATTCTCTGTCATCTCCCAACCTTTAAAATCCTCTTTCCCCTGGCAGTTTCTATTTCAACTTGTACTGCCTTGTGCCTTAATTGTTTTAAACAGATGTTACAAAGTGATAGGTAGCCTGGAAGGATACTACACCAGAAATCAATTTAATCTGCTGTTACAATACTACACAATTAGAAATGATAATTGCAATTAATGAGTGTAATTGCCATTTGCTGTACCAAAAATTGCAATGTATTTTATACTTGAAAGGCTCTATTTACCACAGAGCCCATCACTCTCTGTTGATTTAGTAATTATATGAGATTTTAGACTTTTTCTTAAATAATACAGTTGTAAAGATACAGAAAAACCAAAGTATAGCTGAAAAATTTGAAGTTAGCCATCTGTAGCCGGGGAGTTGGAACTTGATGATTCTTGAAGATGCTTCCAACCTAAGCCATTTCATGATTCTGTGATGACTTACAAGTTAATATAATAGCAACGTAATACGTATATGCACACACCTCTGGGCTGGTGTTCAGCTGCACGGTGAAGTTTTTATTCTTGTATTGCAGTGTTTACAGAGGATGGAAATTTATGCACGTTTCCTTTCCGGTATGGTGGAAGGTTTTATCACTCGTGTTTATCAAATCTATTTTCCCGAAAGAAATGGTAAGTTAACATTTCTCATAAACACAGACAGTGTTTAAAGGAAAATATGCTTTTAGTGTTTTTGTCTTTAGTGTCTGTAGTTTTTTTGTAATAACTAGCATGGGTTCATCATTTTGCATCTACTGAGCGCAATTACGTTACCCTGCTGATGCTCATAGCCTTTGGATCAAAGAGCACACAGATGGGAACGAACCCAGTCACGCAGGACTTGAGGCCACAGAACGCTTAGCACCTACAGAAATGTTTTTTTCTTGGCCTTCAGATTGGTAACAGCTGGTACAGAATGAGCCAGAACAAGGAGTTAGCCACTGCTGAAGGCAAAAGGGAAGATAAGGACCACCTGTAAGCAATGACCGTCTTAAAGAACCTATTGATTTGCATTGACTGTATTTATACTGCTGCAGGGACAAGCTGATCTTTGAGGAAAGCTGGCTTTTCCCCCCAATGTCTCCTCATTTTATCCTGATTTTCATCAGATTCTTTTCATGTGGTGTAGTGCTCCTGCTCATGCGTAGAAATTCATTCCATTAGCATGTTTGAGACCAGGTTCCTTATTTTGGATGAAGGCTATTCTTTCAAACATGTAAGTTGTTATCAATACTTGTTATTCTTTTAGGGTTAAGGGTAGTTATGTGGGAACTCTAGCAAGTAGCAAATATGCAAGAGTAATTTTGCAGATGTATCTTTGTAACATGCATGTTAACAGAAGCTAAAAGTAATAAAGCAGGTAATAAGTAGCTATCAGGAATGAGAAAAATATGTGTGTAGAGATGAGATCTGTTAAAGAAATGTACATACATGTTTTTAGGATGGAGATAATATCTTATGGAGTGTGTTTTGCTGGCCCAAACAGAACTCACAGTTTTTATGTAGTATTTTCTGACTTTTTTTGTGATCTGTATCCTTTTTCTGATGATATATCTCTTTTAAGTGTATGTGCTGGTGTAATGTGAACAGTAAAACTCTACATGAAAACACTGAAGACCTGGAGTGGGCCCTGAGAAAGGCAATAAAGCTGGAAGGGTCAGGAATGAGTCTTACAGGGAGCAGATGTGGAAACTAGGATTGTTCAATCTAGAGAAGAGGAGACTCAGGGGAGACATTATTGCTCTCTACATCTTCCCTGATTTGAGGTTGTGGTGTGGTGGGCGTCAGCCTCTTCTCCCAGGTAATTGCAATAGAATGAGAGATACAGGCCTAAAGTTATGCTGGGAAGGTTCAAGTTAGATACTAGGAAAAATTCCTTCTTAGAAAGAGAGGTGATGAATTGTAACAGGTTGCTCAGGGAGGTGGTGGAGTCACAGTCCTTGGAGGTGTTTGAGAAACATGGAGATGTGGAACTGAGGACAAGGTTAGTAGGCAGTAGTTGGGACTGGGTCGACAGTTAGACTAGATGATCTTAGTGGTCCTTTCCAATCTTAATGCTCCTATGATTCTTTGTTGCAAATAGGCACAGAGCTTTGGGTTAGGAGACTACTACATCAGTACAATCCAGAAAATAAAATCTTCAGGAGAAGGAGAATTTGGGAACATCTTCGCTTGAGAAAGAGAGCAAAAATCATTTTCTCGTGTGGTACCTGTTTTTGATGGACTGTAGCCACAAAGAATTTGACTTCTGGGACTGCTTGTTCTCAAGCAGTTCTTAAGATGAGTCTTGCTAAAAACAAATACACGAAGCATCAGTAATTAACAAGTTAGACCACAGAAATGGAAAGGCAGGGTATGTATGAGATCCAAGATTAGAGCATGCTTTGCAGGTGACCTTGAGGAACATGCAGTTGTAGTTTCTATTTTTTTTAAAAAGCCATTTACTAGCATGAAGATAAGGAGAATGGCTGGAGCTGTTTGGTTTTGACAAATCATTTCTCTCTGGCTGACCTTCTGGCCAATATTTACTCTTCTTTCATGAGCTAAAAGCAATCCAGCGTGTGACTCTAGGCATGGAGATGCTGGGAACAGAGACCTGAAGGGCAACTGGGAAATGTACTCTGGGCATGTTTGTGTGACCTGGAACCAGCCCATATGTGGCTGCCACTGACAGCTGACAGGGACACACAGCAGACAAGAAGAAGGCTCATCCCCCTCCTTCTCCTGCCTCTTCTCTTCTCCTTCTCCTGCCTAGGAGAAAATAGCACACTGTTTTGCTAGTTTTTGAATGCTTTTCTTAACCTGAGGAGGTTTTGTGCCTTATCAGACCTAAGAGAGTGCTGGATTATGTACGTAAGGAGTCCTTCTTAATCCTTAAGGTATGACTCAAAGCAGGACTTTTTTTGGCTTCCACTGGCTTTAGTTTTCTTATGTGCATTCTTATACTACCTATACTATGTAAGTATCATGTGTTAACTCATCATATTTGGCTTAATAAAAAGACTGTCCTACTTCAGAAAGCACTGGAAGGTAGTGTGTATCTTAACACAAAGGAGAGCATTTCATTTATGAAATGCAGTGTTGATTCCAAGGGCTAAATATGTTAAGAAGATCAGGCATTACTTTGATGTGTTGAAATATTTATTGTTACAAGCCAAGTCGGAGTTCTAACTGCAGAAATCTCTCCTTGCTTTCTCTGAGAGCAACAAACAACGTGGTATCTTTATAAATATTTATTGAAAATGCAGGAAAGATGACAAAACAATTTCAGTATTCTAGCAACAAATTTCCTTTAACAGAATTCTGTATTGCATTTTCCTTTATTTATAATCTGTTCTCACTAATGAAGCCCATTTAGCAGTCTCTTACTAGGTACTAAGAGGTTGTGTAAATATACAGTTTCTGTTAGGAAAAATTTAGCTTGAATTCTTGCTGAATTTCATTCTCACTTCCAGAAAAGACAAAACAGCACAGGGACAGAGAAACTGAGGATGTGATGAACACTGAAGAATAGTGAAGCAGCTTTGAGGATGTGTTGAGCTTCTTCTGTGGAATAAGAGGAACACAGCAGAAAACATGAAAGGTTGATACAAATGTGCAGGCAGCCTGGCAGCGCAGGGTGAGATTAATATATTCATAGTCCCTCTGTGAGAGGATGAGAGGAATGAGAGGACCAGTGGCTTGTGGGAAGCCAGCAGGAGAAGCAGTCAGGACCTCTGGTAGTGTGCAAAATAAATAAATAAATAAATAAATAAATAAATAAAATCTGCCTGACAGAGTCTAGAGAGCATCATTTTTCATATATTTTTTTATCCTGCTGAGTTTGCTTAAATTCATTTTGACAAATACTCAGTTCTGCTTTTAAGTGTATGTGGAACCTTCCCTTTTGCCTCTCCCATGCTGCCCAGTGTTACACCTCTCTGCTAAATCAATAATTATGTCAGTCAGAAAGCACTGCTGCTGCTTCTCCATTGTTACTGAAATGTTAAGTCTGAGCCTGTTGTGCCAACAGTAACACAGCTGACACGCTACTGAGAGTCACTGTAATCTTTGTGTGCTGCAGACCTTTAAAAGAACGTGATCTGCTTCCCACTAAAGAGTACAAGGAAATTTCCCTTAACTCCCCCAGATCATCATGGACTTTAAAGTCTGTGAGAAAACTGCATCTTTAAGGATGTCACTTTAGTCTGCACTGCACTATTCAGTACTGTTTTTTTTATGAATCTCTTATGATTAAGGTCACCTAACCTATTATGCACAGCCTATTCAGATGTTGCATAGAAAATAAAGCATTTAAAATACCTCATAGAATCTAATGAAGGATTAGTGTAAGGCAGTTAAAATGGTAGATGTGCTCTACAATAAAATTTTGTTCTAGCTTGGGAAGTTCTGTGGTAGAAAGATAACGTAACTGTTCAATACATGATGAAATTGCACATAATAAGTTATCTAATGTTAAATAAAGCTAACTCCTGTTGCTTGCTATGCCCTGTAGCCACATATTTCCCTGTGTAGTGACAGCAAATATAGCTGATACTTATTTTAGTATCATGGAATCAGATGATCATTTAGTCTTGAAAAGACCTTTAAGATCACAAGTCCAACTGCCAACCTGACCTACTGAGTTCTGTCACTAAACCACATCCCAAAACTGTGTCCCTTGGTGCCAAGTATGGTTAGAAATAAAGTTTTGATGCATAGGATGCTGGGGCACGATGTGGACTTGTGGAGTTAAGGTTTTGTTCAGCCACTGCCTGTCTGACCTTCAGAAGCCTCTATCTACCTCTGTAAGAAAGGAATATAAGCTTAATGCTCCTTGGAATGTCATGAATCTTGGGGAGAACAGAGGGATAAGGACAAGGAAAGTGCGCAGATGACACAGTTGTCAAAGTCCATCTGGATGGTGCTTTGGTAACATTCAAAAAGTGCCTGTGGCGTGCAGGTTTCAAAAGAGATGCAGGGTTTTATCTGTGCCTCTGGAAACCATCCTCATGTCAATTATTTCCTCAACTTGTCAGGCAAGCTGGAAAGTAGAAATACTTTAAAGGAAGTGAGCATAAAATACGGTTTCCATGGAAAGCAAGGAGAAGGTCCTTCTTTGGATAGTCTTCTGCCTCTGCAGATCATTGAAGGTAACAGCAGGCATGAGAAAGGGGTTGGGTCCTGCTTGGCTTGTTTTGTTTGTCTCCTGTAATGAATATGGGAGGCATGATTTATTTGCTTTTGTTTAGTTTTTTCATTTCTGTCTTTTGTTTTCTTATCTTAGAAACAGAAAGCAGACTTCCCCTTCCCACCATCCCCCCTGGAGGATTATTTGGAGATCTCAGATCCTGCTTCCACATCTCAGTCTGCATTTGATTTAAGATAAATGAAGCAGAGTGTCTTTAACAAAAACAAAACAAAAAACCCACAAAAGCACATACATTTTTTCCTCTGGTGCTGAGAGTTTGAATGAAATAGATGCTAATAAGGAAAACAAGAATGAATTTCCTTATAACAAAGAGTCAAAAACATATAGAATGGATATTATGAAAAAATTCTTCTCTGAAAGAATGATCCAGCACTGGAACGGTCTGCCTAGGGAGTGGTTGACTCACTGTAGGTGTTTGAGAAATGCTTAGATGTGGTACTAAGAGACATGGTTTAGTGGGGAAATATTGGTAGTAGGTAGATGGTTGGACTGGATGGTCTTGGAGGTCTTTTCCAGCCTTAGTAGTTCTATGGTAGTTTCAGTGCAGCCATGTACTTGGCCTTCCTGGACTGAGGACAAAAAGAAGGTGCCTAGCTCTACTGAAGCAATATTCTCAAGGACACAAGGGTCCTCTAAGGGTAGCTGTAATCCTGTAAATCTTCATAAGCATTTTCTCTGCAGGATTTTTATCTTAAGTAAAAATTTCCAATATGCTGCACACATCAGGGGGGTACATGAACTTCCCATGGCTGCCTTCATGCTCTGTGATTGTGATGGAGACTCTTGATTCACCTGATGCAATATCTGAGCTCTTTGAAGCTGTGCTAAACCACACTTTTAATTCTTGCCAGGTGTTCAACAACACATAACTACGACCGGGACAGGAAATGGGGGTACTGCGCGTGGCTGTCCACAGAGCACTCAGGTAAGGCGAGCCACTGCTGAGTCACTCTGTGTGCCTGCTTCCCATTTTCCACATGTAGTAATAGTCTGTGCCTTCCCTGTGGCTTTTAACTTGTGAACACAGAACAAGCCTTCACATTAAATGTTTCCAAGAGCTTCCTGTGAGTCTACATAACCACAGCATTGGGCTGTGAATACTACAGAGTCTTTAATTCACTCTTGATTAACCTGAAGCCATGAAAGAAACTATGGCAGAGCAAACATGGAAATCTGAGCTCCTGCTGGAGCTGAGCACAGAGATGATCATCAGCTTGGAGATGTCTTTTAGATTTTCCTTCTAATGATCTCAGTAAGGAGCAGTTCTCCTTTGGATGGTGAAGCACTGGAACAGTTTGCCCAGAGATGTGGCAGATGCCCCATCCCTGGAGACATTCAAGGTCAGGCTGGATGGGGCTCTGTGCAACCTGATCTAGCTGTAGGTGTCCCTGTTCATGACAGGACAGTTGGACTAGGGGTCACTTCCAATTCAAATGATCCTATGATGGTTCAGTGATTCTATGGCAACCAAGCTTCTTCATGTTTTGGGCATGTTTTGGAGAATACAAGAGGACAGGTGGTTCATTGCAGGAGTACTGAGGGACAATGAAAGGGTTACTTAGCATTGTAACAGCTTCATGTGGGTCACCACACTCAAGTGCTGTGATTACACACATTGTGAAAGTCTGTCTAAATGGAGAAGCCAGGGTCTGTGGCAAACTGTCTATATGCTGCTTCTAAGCAATGCTGTGGGTGAAGGCACCATGTCCCAAGTATTCTGGTAGGGATCATGCTGCCCTCAGCACTGCCTTGATGGCTGGCCCTTGCTGTCCCCACCTTCAGCCTTCATGGGCTGATTGGCTAGGGGTTCTCATTTTGAAACATCTAACTCATTCATTTTGTAAGGAACATATAGATATCTAGGCCTCGTTTGCACAATAACTGACCAGCACTGAAAAATCTGATGTACTGACCAAACTTCATGTCCCAGCATCTATTTTGGATCTGTATCTGAATGCTGATCATCTTCCTCTTTTCTCTTTGGAACTACTTTCAGTTGTGACCTGCCTTCTTCAGTCTGTGGGATCAGGCTGGGTACCTTTACTTGTTCGCTTCAATCTTTCAAACAAAGGGCATTTTCTACCTTTCCCTTGCAGAGTTCTCTGTCAGGAGTCTCATTGCCAAACTGATTACAATCTACCAGAGCACTTGAAAAGCCAATGCAAGCTGAATCATCCTGAGAATCTAAAATTAAGCAGTGTGTGCAACATCATCATTTTAAACTGAACAACTTTAAATTATTTTCTAGCCTGGTTTTAAAACAGATTAACAGTAGATCAGAGACAAATGACCTAATCCCATAACAAGCAGCAGCGCATGTGCCTTTGTAATGCAAGTATGTCAGATGTGAATGCTGAATATAGACAGCTCATGCTTGCAAGAGTCAAGTTATGAGGGCTTCACTTGCTTATTCATGAGTGCCCTCTCAGAGCTTAAAGTCTTGGAAACGGTAACTCACGTTCTGCTGTGAATTTAAAAGGAGCATTCCTGCCTCGCTCTTGTTAGTTACAAGAAACACTCTTTACTGTTGTGATGTGGAGCACCTTGGCATCACCCGCTGCTCCTCCTGTGCAGAAAGCAGAGGACCAGGTCTTACAAAGGCTGCACGCTTTCAGGACCCAAGATAGTCATTTTGGCCAGGATGAATGCTCCCCAGTGCAGGCTGGATTTACTGGGGATCCCTCCATCCTCCCCCTCCCCACTGCTGCCCCGGGGTTCCTCATGTCACCTCTGTCCCTCTCCTTTCCCATCATTGCAGTCCTGATAGTTTCTTGTCTTGCTCGTTTTGGAGACAAGGCTTTGGGGACTCTCCAGATCATTTTTGTCTGTTATCCACCATAGGGTTGGGTAAGATGATTTGCCAAGAGAAAGCCCTCTCAACAGCCTGCCTCTTGCTGATGACTGTCAATGTACCATAATCCCGGAGAGACCTTGTCCTGATTTCTCGTTCTTCTCCAGAAAAGAAAGTTATATGTGTGAAAGAGGAAAGAAAAGAGAAAGGGGAATGAGGGAGAGGGAAGGGAACACAACTGCTACAAAGAAAGTACAGGAGCATTAAGGTTTTTGTACAATTAAATAAGTCTTACCAGTTGATATATTTGTAAGCATAGTTCTATTTATTTCTTTTAAGCAGCAAGTGCTGTATTGGCACTTGAAAAACATTTAGCAGATTGTCAGGTTAAAGGCACAGGGTTTATGGTAAGGTCACAAGGAAGGAGTGGTAAATGGCTGAAGGGAACTTCAAGAAAATGGAGGAAAGCTCACATGCTGGGAAGATAGCTGGGAAGAGAGCAACAGCCCAGTTGAATAATGATGATTTTCTAAACGTGGAAGATGCAAGATTTTTATCGTGAAAAAAATCCAGCTAGGATATTACAACTTTGAGGAAATCTCAGCTGCTTTATAGTACACAAAAAGCAGTAAAAAATGAAATTCCAGGGAGATTTGACTCCTTGACTGGAGATTTGTGAGAAGTGTGTGAATTGGGATGGGGAAGGATCAAAGGCTGAAGCATGGATTCTCTCCAGATCTAGATTGCCCCATGCATGTGGGAAGTCTGCTTGAAACCACCAGAGTTGCATACAAGTCGGTGTTAAGCAAGTGTTTGTGGCATCGATCCAGAAAAATACTTCTGCCAATTTCCAGAGAAAGTTTAATCACCAAACCTTTGGCTCCAGGGTGAAGTGAAGCGCTTGTATAAAGGCTCTGCTGGAGGGAAATGTTTGTGCTGTGCAGCACAGAGCCAGAGCTCACAGAAACAGCCCCTGCAGTGCTTGTTCAGCCCCCCCGAAATTAGCAGGAGTTTTATCTTGCCTTTAGGAGATATCTGTTCAGGTTTCTGGAGAATCTTCCTCTCCTGCCCAAGAAATCCTGTGAAGAGCATGTGTAGGATCTGCCTGAGGTGAACACAGTCATGAACGGGGCCAACCAGGCTGTGCATGCACAGCTCAGATATATATACAAATATACGTGCATAAGTGTGCAGTGTCATTGTGTTTGGAACTGTCAGATCTTGTGCAGTCTGTCAATACTATTGCTCTGACCAGACCGCTGAATATCTGTAAATCTTAGACAAATAGCCAGAACCCCAGAGTGGCCTAGTTTTGGAAGGTGACAGACAACCAGCCAAGAGATTTCTTTTTCCTAAGAGGTGCTTGAAGTGATATGAAAAGAAGAAGTAGAGGCGCGTGGGCTGCACAGTTATGAGGAAGAGGCTCTGTCCCATGAGGGGCTTTGAGGAAGAGCAGCCCCTGGGAAAGGTGGGTGGCAGAAACCAAAAGTTTTTGTGGGAAGATATGGTTAGAAAGGTGAGTCAAGTCTTCTGTGCAGCCTTTGAGAGGTGAAGCAGATGTCAGGGTGGCTGCCAGCAAGAACAAGTTGTTTTTCCCATGAGATTTAGACTCTGGCTGAACAGGCAAGGACTTGGACTCCCCATTTAACACATATTTAGTGTTGGATAGGAGTCCTCAGAGGGAAAGTGATGTTGTTCATCTGCTTGGGAGCACCCCTTGGAGGTAGAAGTTTGAGCTGGACTCCAGGACAGGAGGGAAGGGATGTGGAATAGCCAGGGGAAGTCTGGCCAGAGGGGTGAGTGGGATGTAGTGAGGATCTCCAACCAGGAAAGATAGGAGGGGCTGGAAGTACTCTTTGTGGGTGTAATGCGGTGTAGTCTCTGTACAGAGCCCTGCTGTACCTGAAGATGGAGAGCAAGTCATGGTTTTGATGTGACTGGTACAGGAAATACCGAATTTGCCTTTGAGGAAACATTACATCACTACAGATTTCATAACTACCAAACAGCACAAACGGTAGAATCATCACTGCCTATACTTGCTTTCCCTTGATGTTATCCTGGAGTGAAACTAGCAGAGAATACACCCAAAGCTGGTATTTCACATCAATTACACCACTCTGTTCTACAGTAAATATTTTGATCTGTGTAGGGGAACATTCACATTTCCACTGCTGTAGCCAAGTTCAGGAACTGACTTTCATACTTTTCTTAGCTCTGTACGTGTGTGCTGTTTTCACACATTGCCTCTTATGCTTAGACGCCACTCCAGTGGAAGGAGCACCTGGATTGAGTAACCTCTCACAGAGTCTGAGTAGCTGTAGCAAGGAGGGTGAAATGCAGGCAGGTTATTGGGCCATGTCTTCTGCAGGTGCAAAACAAGATGTCAAAACAAGATGTTGGTTGACTTCAGGGGAGACGCACTTTGTCACTGCAATCAGGAGCCACCAAAGCTTCCACAACTTGCTTTGATGGAAGTCAAGCTTCCATTGTGTCATGAGAGAGCTGTCCTAGCACATCACCTACTTACTCTCCCAACTTATTTTCCCATGATTTAGAAGATTCTTGTAAAAATAGGTCTATGGCTCTGCTCCGGTTTAATCTTGTTTGGCCTGATGTATTTGGATGTGCCTTGCTTCAAAAGCTTTTTCCTTTGTTCCAGCTGTCTGTTCATTTTAGACATAATCCAAAAAATCCACAGCAAATTCCTCTGTGGAGGATGGTCCTTGGTGTAATTTGAAAGAGAAATACATAATCCTGGTTATTTCTGTTGAAATGCAAAGCATGCAGGGCAGTAATCCGGGCAGAGCGAGAGCTACGCCTTCCTCCCCAGTGCAAAGGCACAGCTCCATCTAGTGGATGTCGGCCCATCTTCTTCTTCGCTACAGCCTCGGGTTGGCCTGAGCCCACCGCCCTGGGATGAGTTGTTCATAAAGCAGAATCATAGAATCGTTTGAGTTGGAAGGGACCCTTAAGGGTCATCTGGTTCAACTCCCCTGCAATGAACGGGGATACCTACAGCTCCATCAGGTGCTCAGAGCCCCTCCAGC